TAGCAGGATGCAGCTCACCCTTCATGCGACTCGCCGAATACCTCACGGCGCTTCGCGCTTGGTGATGTGAGAGCCTGGTCCGGTGAGAACCCGGCGTGCTCCGTCCCGGCTTTGTAGGGATGCGAGGTCAATGGTCAAACGACTTCGGCATGCACGACTATGAGTACACCCCCCCCCGCGCGCGCGCCCGCGTCCAGGGAGCGGGCAAAGACGCGTTCGAGGCGGTGTACGAGTCTGAGGACAACCTGGGGAACCATGGCGTCCGTCTTTCGAAGGAGATCGTGAAGGTGGCCGGTCGTGCGATGGAGAAGAACTTCACCTCCCTGGGGCCGTACGTGCTGCCCATCTCGGAGCAGTACAAGGTGGTGAAGGCTCTCGCCCTCCGCAAGGTTAGTGGACTGTGCGGTAGTTACATAGCGCTATTAAAACACTTAAGAACTCCGCAGCCAAGAAATTGATCTAGCCTCGAAGAAGAACTCGATTAAGCACCGTTTGTAAGCTACCAGGTAGGTTAAGAACCCACCCCGGCTTCGTCGAAAATTAGAGGTTTTAAGCGCACGTGTTTACTGTAGTGTGTGCCGTTTGCACTGCTGTCTGTGATAACGGTGGTGTGTGCCGTTTGCACTGCTGTCTGTGATAACGGAAAGCGTTCGCATCGATTGGACCGGAACACGGGATGTTTAGAGAAAGTTATGGCGAGCAAAAACCGGAACGTTTTTTTTTTTTTTTTAAGACGGCGACGACCACAACCACAGCAATAGCAGTAGCAGTAGCAACAACAACCACCTAGATTATTTCTTTTACCCAACTGTTCGATGTCGTAAGCTTTTTCTGAAAGTCTCGCGGCTGCCTAGGTTTTCCTTGACGTGGTCCGCCCTCGAGAGGATGGTGCCGCTGATTTGCTCCAAGTTTGTTGTTTTATTTTTCTTGGAATTCTACTACCGTGAGCACGAGAGAAGTCTGGTACGGTACTGTTGAGAGTGGCGGATTTTCCGGGACTTCCGTGGTTCCGCTTTTCTGCAGTAAATATGGTGGTATCATATGTATGAGTGAACGTGAGTCATCCCCGCATCTTGTTTCGTGCCCTGTTGTGCTGTGTACGGTATACGTTTGGTTCCCTTGTTTTCTGCTACAACTATTATAGGTGACGAAGGCACTCAGAGAGATGCTGGAGAAGCGCAAGAGCTCGTTGGCCAAGAAGGTGCCGATCATCGCCTATTACCAGCCGGACTTCAAGCGCGGTGAGAGCGGAACGCACACTCTTTATCATTTCCTTCGTCCTCATCTCTTTTTTGTTTTTGCTGCTTCGCCGTTTTTTTGTTTGTTTTGTGGCGTCTGCTACGCACGGCATCTACAAATGTGTGTGTGAGGTGGTTCCCACTGTCGATTGATTGGTCTTCCTCCAAATTCTTCCGGGAGGCATCTGCGGTTAGCATGCATGCACGTCATGCCCCCCCCCCCCCCCCCACACACACACACACACACGCCCGCGGACGACCTGTTTTTGAAGCAAGACATCAGCGGCTCCCGTTACAGGAATGACGAGAGTGACTGGTCCGCCCTCGCTGATGGATATTCCGGTGTTGCTGCTTTTTCTTTCGAAACTAGAACTACTGCTGTGGCTTGTACGCGCGGGTGCTCGAAGTTCGCGCATGAATATGTTAGTATTTGTTTGTCTCAGCGGGGGGTCCTCGGCTGCTTCTGTGGAAACAAAACAAGAGCAAAGGAGCGAAGCGGTGCAAGTGAAAAGGTTTGCTCCGGGTTGTTGAGTTTTTGTACCGAGGACAGCAGTTTTTTAGCCCCGGCGTATCCAGATAACAACACAAGAGATGCATGAGAAAAGGCTTCGAAAGGGATCACCCCTCCTTCGTGCAAACACGAGGCACACTCATACGACGACATCTCCTGATAAGAGCAGTGCCGTGGTTACAATCGTTTGAGCACGCTGTGTTGTTACCGTTGTCGTTAACGTACCGTTGAAAACAGGCATCGATCACTTCTGCATCCACGCGGGGGGACGGGGTGTGATTGACGGCATCGAGAAGAACTTGGCGCTGCAGGAGCACCACACGGAGCCCTCGAGGGCCACACTCAGGGATTACGGCAACACTTCGTCCTCTTCCATCTGGTGCGTCATCGTCGTGGCCGTCGTTTATTTATTTATTTTTAATTCGTGCCTCGCTCACAGGTTCCATCGTGGCCTGCTGCTGCCGTTTTTATGTTGCTGTTCCCCCTCCCATCAAAGCAGTGCTTTCCCTCACCGTGTTGGTTTGGTTTGCATGACGAAATGCTTCGTTCCCCTCCATCCGATGCGCTTTTTTTCATTTTTTTTTTCATGCGAACACTGGAGCACGGGTAGTTTCACCCCGTTCATAGGTGTGCTTTGATCGGAGCATTGGGGCATTGGTTTTTTGATATTCAAGTCCAGGTTAACTGTATTTTTGCTCCTGCACCTCGTCCTATCTTGAAACTCATTCGATATTGTACCATATTTTCCGTTTTTTTTTCTTTTCTTTTTCCTTTTTTTATCTCTTTTCTTTTTTTTATTGTCGTTACCGCTTCGTACGTATCCACATCCGGAAAGGGCATCATATCACAATCACGCATCGCGTCGGTGTTCTCTTCTAACGTTGCGAGCGGCAGCCACGGGGGTCTTCGCCTCGGCGATTTTTTTTTTCCAGGCGTCTCGCCTCCTTCGGGTATCTACACAACGCGCAAGACGAGAAAACCGACGCGATATCTACGTGATTGTGCTATGATGCCCTTTCAGGACAGAAATTGTGTCCCTTTGATGCTATAGTCCGCCTCAAGTGTTACGATTAGATAGGACAGATGAAGGTGCTTAGTAGAGAGATCGGAACGAACGGTTTTTAATGTGATGACAACAAAAACACAGCAACCCTAGAGCATGAATATGACGCTACAGCAGTATGAAGGGAGTACGTCGTTTTGCGTGTTTCATGGCACGCGGGCCTGGAATATGCCACGTTTCTTGGAGGGCCCTTCCTCTCTTGCGTGTTCATCAAACGTAGCTCCTCCATCTGATGCCCCTTGCCCAATCTCGAAGCAGCTAAATATCAGCACTTACAGCTCATCGGTACCTGCGTCTCTGCCAATGGCACTAGCTTGTGCGTAAATTTCTTGCTTTCCCATCCCCCCCCCCCCTCACCCGTTATGGTGCGAAAAACGCCAACAACTGCCAGGTACGAGATGAAGTACATCGAGGAGCACTCCGACCTCAGGCGGGGCCAGCGCATCCTGCAGGTGAGATATTTCCACACACGCCCGACTCCCTCTGTTGTTGTTGCCTGTTGTTGGTGGTGTTGGTGTTGGGTGTTGTTTGTGATGGTGTTGTTGTGCGTTGTTGTCCTGTCTAGTCCGGGCACCAATCTCCACACCTTTCGGCTCATGTTTTTTTAGCACCAGGTGACCGCGCATGTGCACGTTCTCCTATGTGTACCTGCGAAAGGGGGAAGTCAATCAGTCCTCCACGAACATCACCCAAAAACCAAGGCTTCAGTTGGCCCTCGTCTCCCCATTTAGGGGTCTCGATTTTTTTTTCTAATATGGTTATTTTTTTTTTGTCCTTGTTTTATCATCACTTTGTTTCGGCGCTGACAGCAATTGTGTCGGGTTGGAGCTACAGTCCGATCCGTGGTCACACACACTATATTTGTCTCTTGTCTCCCTGCAACACGGAAAAATCAAACCAGGTGGCTTTCGGGAGTGGCTTCAAGTGCAATTCCGCTGTGTGGATCTGCCTCAATCCTCCGGACCGCAAGCAGGGGGCATAGGTCAGCTGCATCAAAAACCCATCCGCGGGACCCACATTCAATTTTTTTTTTGTTTGCGTTAGCGCGCGCGACTCCCCCCCCCGGCCCGCGGGGAGGTTTTGGGTTTCAGGAAGCTTTTTTGTTCCCGTGGGATGGGGGGGGCTTTAGGGCTTATTGTTCGTGCCGACCAACGATAGAGGAACGTGCTCGGTACTTCAGTACGTGTAGCACGGCGCGCTTGTTGCTCTGTCTGCCCACGTGTGAGTTATTGGCGCGAGGAGTTATGAGAAGAGAGTTGGGTTTACATTATTCCAATAACCTATTTAGGCATGCACCATCAGGATTATTAGGCGAGAATGTACCGGATTGGCATGGGCCGCTTAAACGCTACTTGCGGCGGCGGCGGGCGGGGGGGGGGGTTCTTGCATAACGTCGGGCGGGAGAGGGAGCGGGCAACACAGACTCTACAGATGATTTGTGTTGATTTCCCAGCTATGTAGGTGGTGTGGGGTCCGCTGTCTGCATACCGATCTTCGTGTTTATTTCCTAAATAGCAGGACAAGGTACCACGTCTTTGCCTCTCACCATCGCTGTCCCCTACCAGCCAACGGTGCAATGACAGCGGGTTGAGGGGGGGGGGGGGGAAGGGGGTCATCCTACC